TAATAAGCTATCTTTTCTTCACCAACGTAGGTAGTTAGCAAAGAAGTTCTCAAAACAGACCTGTACAATACAGGAACGTCAGCTGAATCTATTGTAGTACAACAGAAGAATCCAACTCCAAGAGAATTTTAGGTTGAGTCTAAGTGCTTTTAAGTCATAGGAAATCTATAGCACACTTTATACTTCTTCTTCCACATTTGTAGGCTTCTACACTTATACCTTTTGGAGACTACGATGATCCGAGAGAGGCACTTTTGACATGATGGATATATAAAATTTGAATTCTGGAGGGCGAGTACAGAAGCAAGAAGAAATTTTCTTTTCCTAGTCATGTGCTCACACTCTGTCCTACAAAACAAGATAGCCATTAGGGGGAAAGACAAAGCTTTAAGTGTATGTACACATTCATTTCTTGGGAAAATCAATGAATCTCCACTGCAGCCAGGCTTGTTTTGCTTTAATTTTAAAGTGCAGATAGGAACTATCAATTTTCCTTTCCTGCTTAATTGAAAGTATTAATAAAAAAAGAAAACAGAGTGGCTCAAGTAAATATTCTATCTCAACAATCTTGTTTTAAGCATTAAGAAGAAAGTTACATGAACTTACATTCATCTTTTAAAGAACCTAAACTGGTAGAAAAAGGTTCTGATCAGTTAAATTGCTTTTCTAGTTTTAAGTGTGCACAGTTTTACACAACTTGGAGAGAAAAAAAAGTAATTCTGGTTTTGTAAACAGAAAAAGCAGAATGTTAAATAGTCAAAGGATAGTGTATAAAGCAAACTAGAGAAGTTAATCAGGACCAATGAGAGTAGCGATACCAGGAGGGGAAGGGGAAGGTGGGGGATGAGAGGAGCAAACAATCACAATGATCTACATATAACCCCCTCCCTGGGGCGGACAACAGAAAAGTGGGTGAAAGGAGACATCAGTCAGTGTAAGACATGAAAAAATAATAAAAATTTATAAATTATCAAGGGTTCATGAGGGAGGAAGGGAAAAAATGCGAAGCTGATAACAGCGCTCAAGTTGAAAGAAAATGTTTTGAAAATTATGATGGCAACTTATGTACAAATGTGCTTGACACAATGTATGTATGTATTGTGATAAGAGCTGTATTAGTCCCCGATAAAATGATTAAAAAAATTCAAATGTTCATTTGTTTACTAGAAAATCTTGGAATCCCCCTCGCCCCCTTGCTGTTCTTGTTATGTGGGGCTTTAAACACACATGATTAGTAAGGTTCTAAAGGCAGACAAAATGAGGCTGCCTGCGCCTATAAAGATTTACAGCTTTGGACAGCATCCAGAGTAGGTCCTGTCTTGTCCTCTCGGGTCATTATGAGTCAGAATCAACTTGATGACGGTGGGCTTAAAGGCAGATAGATATTCCTAAATTTCGTTGCCACTTTAGGCTAGAAGTGGTTTTCAAGGACAAGGGGGAGTAGGTAATACAGAACACAAGGGAAGACGAAGAGTCATTTTACTTACGAATACCACTAATGGTATGCCAGCAAAACCATTTTCCCTCTAAGTCTCCTGTAAAATCCAATTGAGGGTGCTCCTCCTAGGGCAGACTCTCCTGTGACCCATTGGTGTTAGGTGCCATCGCAGCATCGGTTTCAGCTCAGAGCAACTCTACGCACAACGGGATGACATACTGCCTGGTCCTGTGCCAGCCTCACAATTGTCATGTTTGAGCTCCTGTTGCAGTCACTCGGTCAATCCATCTTGCCAAAGACGTTCCTTTTTTGTTGCTCCCCTTACACTTTATCAAGCATGCTGTCCTTCTCCAATGACTGGTCTCCCCTATTAATATGTGCGAAGCATGAAAGACGAAGTCTTACCATCTTTGCTTGTAAGGAGCATTCTGGTGGTTACTTCTTCCAAGACATATTTATTCTTTTGGCAGTGCATGGTACTTTTAATATTCTTCATTAGCACCATAATTCAAATTCATCGATTCTTCCTCAGTCTTCCTTATTCAATGTCTAACTTTTATATGCATATGAGGCCACTGAGAATACCGTGACATGGCTCAGGTACATCTTAATTCTCAAAGTACCATTCTTGCTTTTGTAATACTTTCAATAAGTCTTCTGCAGTGGATTTTCCCAAAGCAATGCATCGTTTGATCTCTTGACTGCTGCTTCTATGAGCATTGATTGTGGATCCAACCAAGAAGAAATCCTGGCAACTTCAATCTTTTCTCCATTATCACAATGTCACAGATTAATTCAATTGTGAGGATTTTTGTATTTTTTAGATTGAGCTGTAATGCAGACTGAAAGCTGCATCTTTTATCTTCATCAGCAACAGTGAGAATGAGTTGTAATTCATACTGAAGGCTTCAATCCTTGATTCTCATCAGCAAGTGGTTCAATGCCACCTCACTTTCAGTAAGCAATCCTGATGCCGCATTCTTCTTCATATAGTCTAGCTTCTCTGATTATTTTCTCAGCATATAGACTGAACAAGTACGGTGAGAAGATATAACCCTGTCATACACCTTTCCTGATTTTAAACCAGGAAAGGTTTCGCTCTGTTTGGACAGTTGCCTACTGATCCATAAATAGGTTTGATATGAGCACAATGAAATGTTCTGGAATTCCCATTCTTTTCAAGGCTATCTGTATTGTGTTAAGTCCACACCGTCGAATACCTTTACACAGTCAATAAAACACAAATACATATCTTTCTAGCATTCTCTGTCAGTCGAGATCTATCTGACATCAGCAACTATATCCCTTGTTTCACGTTCTCTTCATTAATCTGGTCAGAATGTCTGACAGCTCCCTGTCAATGTACTGCTACAACCACTGTTGGAGGATCTTCAGCAAAATTTTACTTGCATGTGATAGTAATGATATTGTTCTAGAATTTGAGCATTGTATTCTGTTGGGTCATCTTTGGAAGTGGAGCACATTTGACATCTGTCTGAAGTGGTGGAAGCAGAGACCAGAGGCGCCACAGAACAGAGTAAAGTATCCAGGCTGAGGGGCCAAAGGCAGAGGCGAAGACACTAAGAGACACAACAGCAGAGCAGCACAGAGACTATAGGTCAGTGGTTCCCAACCTTCCTAATGCTGCGACCCTTTAATACAGTTCTTCCCATGTTGTGGTGACCCCCAAACATAAAATTATTTCCGTTGCTACTTCTTAACTGTGATTTTGCTGTTATGAATCGTAATGTAAATAGCCAATATACAGGATGTATTTTCATTGTTACAAATTGAACATAAAGCAGAGTGATTAATCACAAAACAACATATAATTATATATTGTGAAATGTTTATTCCTGATTACAAATACATAAATGAAATTTTGTCTTGAAGCATGGTGTAGCATAGGTAACAGACTTCACGTTGGGTAATTGTATGTGGGTGTATCTGCATGTGAGCGGACCTGCCTGGAGACGGATAGAGGAGCGGTGTCTCGTTCCTAAGAGCATTGGAAATAATGTGTTTTCTGATGGTATTAGGCAACCTGCAGGTAGGCAGAGCAACAGGCTGACTTCCTGGCCCATGGAGGTAGAGGCCACATTGCTGAAAGCTTGCAGACTGGTGAGACACTTGGCTACTGGCTGAGAAAAGGTGCCACTATGCACCGATGCCTGTATCCTTATTGTTTTACTGATCTAACTTGTGGCAATCTATTAAATTCCCTAATAACCCCACAGAATTTTGAGTTCTGTCTGTGCGTTCTCTGTGGCCATTGCAATGAATTATCAAGCTCAACCGAAAAGCATAGTGCTGTGGGAGGACCAGTTAATGTCAGAAAACTGGAAAGAAGGATGTAGGGTAGAGGCCTTGTGCCCACAGGGAAGCCCAAGGAGGTCAGCGGTGACCCTCTCCAGGCTCTTTTCATAGTGGGTACAGGGTGAACAGAAATGGAGTTCTAAAACAGAAATTTACACAGTACCAACACACTACAGACATTCAACAAAACATTTTTTACACAGTTATCAAATTTAAATTTTAGGACGTGGATGAACATAACCATGACTAGGATGTTGTGTGGGACACAGATAAAAATAAGGAACTTCTAATTGGGCAGGCAACTCACCAATGCATACAAAAACTATGTGAGCAAATACTCTTTGTGATTAGTTTCTAAATTAACTGTGTGAGTATTAATTGTTATAGATTTAAAGGAAAGCTGGCTAACTTGTCTTAATATTTAAAGTTTTATTGCCCCCTAGTGGATCAAACAAGTATGTCTAAAAAGCTGTTTAACTTCCTGGCGTATTTGAGAACTGAAATGAACTATGCCAATAAACCATTGTCACTATTTGTGTCAGACCCCTGTGTTATGCCTTTTGCTGTTATTGTAGCATTTCCTTCATACTTGTCACTCAATTGGTTCTGTCTTCCCTTCTTTACTGCCCGACTCATAGTACGCTGAATTCATGTTGGAAGAAAATCTGAATGAAGAGCCAAGGAGTAGTACATATTAAGGTTAAGAGATAGAAGATTTGGGAACAATTTCATATGTGGCATCTCTTGGAATTTTCCTAATTATTTACTCTACTGGGAAAGATGGTTGATAATAAATTTCTTTTAGTTTCCATTAGAAAACTAGATTCCAACTCAACAAGCTCGTTAGTTATTTACAATAAATAACATACTGATTCACTAGTTATTTTACTGTATAGCTGCTGAGCACCAGGTGTTGGATATAGAAGACAGGCAAAACAATGGTCCTATCTAGTTACTGGATTACCCAACCCCCTCCGAGGCAGATAAGAAACAGATAACCACATAAAACATTTAGGTGAATTCTATAATGGAAAGTTATCAGAATAAACAATGAGCGAATGTAACAAGGAATGACTGACTGAGTTTTGCCTTGGAGTGGGATGTAGGAGGAAGTGGAGGAAAGTTTGAAATAGATAGAATCTATTTTTTAAATGCATTTTCTTCGAATGGTGGGGTTAAAATTGATTTTCCATACATATAAAACATATTCTAAATGTACTGCTTTCAAAATTCTAAAAATCAATAAATGTGGTGAAAATACTCAGAAGGGAACTCAGTAATAATGTACAAAGAGAATCTAGGTTCCTTTCCATTTCTCATACATAAAAGCATAAATTGGGGCATTAGAGGTGGAAAGAGTTGGGAGAAAAGTCTTATGTGTTGGCAGGTTGACCAGAGCTTACTGGCCTCAGTGGCATTTGTTTCCAAAGTCTAGTGACTACCCAGGTTATTAAAACAAATTCTGTGTAGGTGGATACATTGCATTGCCAGATTTTTACTTTATTATGCAGCACTCTTCCAAACAACAAGAAAAACTCACTGCCACTGAGTTGATTTCAACTCAACTGTAGGACAGGGTAGACTGCCCCTCTGGGTTTCCAGAGCGGAGCTCTTCACAGGAGTAGAAAGCCTCGTCTTCCCTTCGGAGCGGCTAGTGGTTTTCAAGCGCTGACCTTGCTGTTAGCAGCCCAGCTCCTAACCCACTATGCCAACGATGAATCATGAAAGTTACTGTCATAGGAAAGAGACATAACAGAAACTTGTCATATTTTCTCTGGGGAATTAGCTACATGTTGTCATATTATAAGCTAAAGGTTGCTTGAAGAAAAGGCAGTAAGCAAATCATGCATCCTTTTTCATTCTAGAGATGGTTTTGTTAATGCTCCTTGCTTACAAACTCTTGCACCCCTTTTTCATAGCAGCTAAGTGACTCTCAGGGAGCCCAGGGGGTGTAGCAATCATGCCTTGGAAGACTCACAGGGGTAAATCTACCTTGTCTTTTAGGGTCACATGAGTTGCCAATGACTTGGTAGCAGGGAGTTTGTTTTTTTGGGGAAGTGGTCCTCAAACTTTAATTAATATGTATCAAAATCACCCACAGAGCTTGACAGAACACAGATTACTGGGCTCAACTCCAGATTTTTAATTCAGCAGATCTGGGAAGAGGGCCTAAGGATTTGTATTTCTAACAAGATTCCAGGTAATGCTCACGTTGCCCAGAGTTGAAAACCATTGGCCTAGTGATTGGCATTGCAAATAATCTGAAATCTGATGGTGAACCACATTTGTGATCAATCTTCTTATAGTTAAGCCCTAAAGCCCAGAACATTTTAGTGTCTTTCAGATTACTTTGCAATGCTTTGCTCCAATTCCTTATCGAATGATCTTTTCAGTTTAGCTCTCAGTAGCAAGTTTTCAGAAGGAACCTCAATATTCTCTAAGTATAAAAAAGCATGCCCATGTGTTTACACACATCAAAAATGGTTTGCTTCTTTGGGCTAGAAACTCTGGAATAATTTTTATTAAATATTAGATCATAAAGAAAAAATGAGCTATGTATTTAATGTGAATTGGGTGGGGAACTGATGGAGAGAATATAGAGAAATATATTTACCTTGAAGAAAAGGGGCCCTGGAGGAGTAGTCCCCTATTCATTGGACAGCAAACTACAAGGTCAGTTAGTAGTTTAAACCCACCAGCTGCTCCCAGGAGAAAGATGAGGCTTTGTGCTGCCGGAAAGACTTAGAACTTAGAGCCTAGGAAACACAAAAGGGCAGCTCTACTCTGCACTACAAGGCCACTATGAGTTGGCATCAACTAGATGACAAGGAGTTTTCTAAAGGAAGTTATAACAAATCCCTATGAATTAATTTGCTGACAATACAAAAATCATAGAGGAAATTAAACAAACAAAAACAAAGAACCTATAGTGAGGACAAATATGATGAAAAACACCTTTCAAACAGTACCCAGGAAAATCTAAGTCGGACATACAGTTTGCCCATTTTCTCTATCATCTACGAGTACTTATGGGATGAAAAGTTCGGTGCTAGAGATGGGGAAGAAGACAGGGATACAGCAACAGTAAAAAATGTCAAACTATCAATGAAGTGATACAAAGGCCGAGAAGCGATAAAGGTATCATTTTTAATAGAAGTATTTTCTAATATAGCTTAGGCATTTTTGTATATGCTACTTTGAAAAGCATGTCTCATTAGTCCTATTCTAAATCTTGATTCTATCTCTAGAAATATCTCTGAGATGTATCCTTTCCTGTTCCATAGGCTTTGCAGCTTGTCAGACTTATATCAATTTTCACCTACACTCGTCCATAGTTAATATCGCAACTATTCAGAAAGGCGTATTTGTTAAGTGCACACTATGTTAGGCAATAGAGATAAAATGGACTAAAAGTCTCTACTACCGTCAGGGGCTTACAGCTCAGCGAGGTGGACTACTCAACGGACATAGCAATAAACTGTGAAATGCTTTTTTTAAAACTCAAAGACATCTCAAGTTTTAATAGGCAATAAAACCTATTAAATAAAGGTTCTTAATTCAGTTTTCTCCATCTCAATAAATGACACTACTGTGCAGGCAGTAAATCAAGCCAGATACTGTATTAGGAATCATCCTTCCTTCTAGCCTTCTCTCTCATCTCACATCACACCCGTTGGCAAATCCTCCAGTCTATTTCTCTACCTAGCAACCATGCACTTGTTACCACCCTCCATATGTTTTGCCGCTACCATAACTCAGATCGCCATCATTTTTTCAACTTAGGATGCTGAACTAGCCTCGCAACTGAACATCTGGTCCATCTCTTCAGAATTCTCTCATACAATTGCCCTCTGAATTTGCTACATCTCTAGTCTTAGATTCGTGAACACTAAGATGCCTAGCTCTCTCCTGGTACAACTGTTTTCAAAGGCCTTTGGCACATTCTATTCATTTTTTAACAGTTTTATTAGCACTTCATCCACGTCACACAATTCAACCATATGAAGAAGAGTTGTACAACTGTTGTCATATTCAATTCTAGAACACTTTCCTCTTCCTTGTAGTCAATTATTCATGTAATTTTTTTCTATTTGTGGCAAGAATATACACAACAGAACATTTACCAATTCCACAACTTCTACGATTATACTCTTCGTCGTGTTGTGCAACCATTATTGATATCCATTTTCAAATGATTCTACCACCATTGACATAAACTCAACACCCCCTATGCAACAACTCTTTCCCCTCCACCAAGGTAACCATGGGTCAAGTTTTATTCACTGTTTGGAATGTTTTTTCTTCTCTTGAATGGCTGGATCACTCTCATATTTAAATGTCAATTTCTCTGCGAGAGGTCTTACCAACACCAACCTAACTCAAGTAAATTCCCCATTAGGTTATTGTTATTCTAAATCCATAACAGTTAAGTTCCTTTAGGGTAGGAATTTGTTTCTCTTGTGTACCACTGCATGCCCACTATATGCAGTTTCTGGCACAGAGGAGGCAGGTACGTAAAACGACCTGGAGGAGGAATAAATAAGTTCTGGCGCTTTGCAACACAGCCTTCCAGGATCAGGAAAGGAATCTTAACTGGTAGAGCTTTGTAAACAAACTTAAGGTAAGAAATGCTGGTAGGGGGTGGGGCTAGAAGGACTAAAAAGACAATCTGAAAAAAAACAAACAAAAACCCGCCATAGGCTGTCGTCTAAGGCGTTTGGCCTTAAGCTCGAGAGTAAACAGGGGCGCCAGAAGGAAAGGGGCGTGTCTTAGTGAGATCTGCACTTTTTCAGCCAGTGTGCAGGCTGGATCGGAAAGAACAAGAGTGAAAGCAGAAAATGAGCTGGGGGGTTCTGCGTCGCAGCTATTCAGCAAGCACGACGTTGAACCTGTTAATGGAACAGTGTACGGACAAGAGATACACTTAACAACAACAGCAACAACAACCCTCAGTTGCTCTTTCACAGAGAAGGCGGTCCTGAAAATTCGAATAATACAACGGCAGGGCCCCGAGTCTCATTCAAATCAACGCTGGGGACGTGGGGCAACTCTGAATCCCCCGGAAACCGCTTCCAGCTCCTCACCTGGGGCAGTGGAGGGGGATTCGGCAGAGGAGACGTTCATGTCTGCGCAGGGCACAAGTCAGCTGCACACCGCTCGTCGCCAGACGCCTCCCAATCGAATCTCCCGCCGCCTTTTCCGCCGGAAGTCCGGAAGTGACGCAGGGCGGTGCTTCTTCAGAACCAATCAGAAGATCGGGCCCCCACGGCTCGGGCGGGGCCGGGTGTTGGCCGTAGCCTCCGGCGGGCTCGGTGGAGAGACCCTCTTTAGTGGGGGTCGGGACCGTAGATTGAGACGGCACCCCGATGGGTGGAGCTGTGGTGCAGCCCGTGTGAGGGCGGGGCTGTGCCGGCTGCGCGGGGAAGCCCTGGCCAGGGAGGGCGCCCCGGGTCCGGGCGGCGCGATCGGAAAGGGGGACGGAAACTGACTGCAAAGAGTTGGCCGAACCCTGAAGACAGAGGAGGGCGCTGTCCGAGAGGAAGCGCTCGGGCCTGGGCGGGCGGAGGAGGGGTGGGGCCGGGCCTGGAACTTGCTACCCTTAAGCTGGAGGAAGAAAAGGGGTGTAACCTGGATGAAGGGATGGGGGCCTCCGCAGGGTTCTGGGCCGGGCGAGGTTTCTGAAGGGGAGGGGCTGAGTGGGGGACACCTGCTTTCTTTGGGGTGATGGTTAGGATGGGGTGGAGGGGGCATGGAAGGAGCCGGGCCTGGGCCTTCAGCCCCTGCAGCCGCGGGGCTAGGCGCGGTCACTAGAGTCGAGTGACCCGAGCAGGTCACAGCACCTCGCCTGGTCTCCACGGCCTCTTCTAGAAGCGGGAGTAACAGGCGTACGTGACCCCCAGGTTGCCCGTGATGACCGCGTTAGAGCATGTGATTCAACGACGAGCGAATTGTCACGGCAGCTTTTATATTATGAGATATGCGGGGGGCAGTGGGTGTGGCCCTAGAACTGAGGCGTCTCGGGCAGGCAGGGTGGGCGACGGGGGAGGTCAGGGATGGCCAGGCGGAGTTCTGGTTTGGTGGGCTGCCTAGGTCAGGGCAGGATATGGCGGTGAGGGAGGAGGTGGCTCTGGGGTGATAGAGCAGCCGACTGGCCAAGTGGCCGCTATGAAGGAGGGCTCCGAGCCGAGGGTGGCAAGGCAGGAAGTGTAGGGCTGAGGCGGCGCCTGAAAGTCGGTGAAAGTCGGCGGTGCCGAGGGACGCCGAGACTTCGGGGTTCCGGGGGGAGGAGTGGTCGGCGGCCGGCAGGCGGAGCTCTGGGCAGGGCCGGGCTCAGGCCGCGCGTCGGCTCGCCCTCACCCGCCGGCTCTCTGAGGCTGCCTGTTGCTGTCCTCCTGGGCCATGGGGCGCATCTCTCTCCTGCTCCTGGTTTCGCTCCTGCCCCTCCTGGCGTCCGGGGCCTCCTTCCCGCGATCGCTGGCCCTGGGGCACCTAAGCGCCCTGCACATGCCAGCCAGACACATATCCCGTCTTACAGTGACCAGGGACTACACCACTCACTACTTCAGACAGAAGGTAAGAAGGCAGGGAGGGGTGGGGAAGGGGTTAGGGTGTGGGTAGCTTAGGCTTCCGTGCCCTGGATCGAGTCACCCACACCCCCCATCTCGTGAAGAGTCCCAGCACCAACCTCGCTACTCTTGCACCGCCTGGCATCACAGCCCAGCTCCGAACTTACCCACCTCCTAACCCCTACCTTCACCCGCACCCCGAAATTCAGACTCCTTAATGCTAGGACCTGCCAGGACTTTGGTACGTAACTTGCAAAAGGATAACTTGGTACGTAACTTGCAAAAAAACTTCCAAGTACTAGTACTGTTTAAAATCTTTGCTCCCATTAATATGTTATCAGTTACTGGCTTCAGACTGTCCATTCAGGGTCCTTTGTTATTGACAGTCACTTCAACTCTCTATGTTCCTGAGCTACCTGAATCCAAAAGCATTTGCTAAATCTCCTCATTCAAATGATTAAACAAAAACAATGTCCCCACCCTGCCTCAGGTAACAGTCATATTTTGTTTCAAGGCAGCCTTTAAGTACAAATTTTAATAAGTTTAGCGATTAGCTAGTATCTAATATCTGCCAAATCTAAAATGCCAGCCTGCCCTCTCATGCTTACCACCAAGTTGATTTTGCAGCCCTTTAAGGAAGAGTAATTGACCTTTCTTATTCCCTAAACAACTGAAAATATGAAACTCATGCTTGTAAAAGGTGTTCAGGGGAGCGGGATGGTGGGAGTGGGACTGGTGGTGTCAGAGTGTCTATGGTGGGCAACATCACGTTGAGAAGTTTAAGGTAGCCTTCCTGTTGTGCTTGGCTTCAAGCACAACAAGCTTGGATCTAAAGTAGGAACCGTGAAATGACAGCATCCATCCAGTTCTGCATTTCTGGAACCATATTTCACTCCTAAATTGTATTTCTTTATTTAGAGCACTTATAGAAGAATACAAACATCAAGTCAACAGTGTCTACATGTGTCTGAAGTGCCTTTGGTTACCTTCTTCGAATTGTGCAACCGTACCTTCCTTTGAAAGTGGATCCTCATTAACATCAATTCACTGCCCCTGTGGATTAAGGGATGCTTTAAACAAAACCATTTTGTTGTGGTTTGAGTGAGTCGACAGAACAAATCAGTTATCTTTTCAACATTTTATGTATGTTTTGTTCTGTGACATTGGTGACATTCCCATCAGCGCTCTCCTCACTTCCCCCGTGGGTTCCCTAGTGCCGTTCATCTGCCTTTCCTGTCCCTTCCTGCCTTTGGAACTTGGGGCAAATGCTGCACTCTTGGTCTTGTTCTCAGAGGTGGGTGTGGGCAAGATGACTAGAAAGTCAAAATTGCATTTTGGCATTTCTTGAAGACTGGAGTCCTGCAGGGGAGATGCCATAAGCAGCAGGGTCTCTCTACGAGCTTACAAAGTCATTGTAGGGCTGTTTTCTTAGTCCAGTTTGCTAGACTGTTTTCTTAGTGTGTTTCTTGGGGTAACATTTCCGGTGTGGGCAGTTGTTGCAGTCATCTGGCTTTTATGAACACTTTACTGGTTCCCTTTTCCAGTGAATGTGTACAGTGTTGAGCCAAGTTTGAGTCTGAAAATTTATAAGCAGGGCTCCTGGGATACTTAACTATGTAGGCATATAAGGACAATGTCCTTATATTCTTACTTCAAAACCTGGGTTTGTACTGGAGCCACCATTATAGGTCACTTAGCAGTCACAAGCGTCCTTGCTGTGCATCTCTTAAATCAGTTGAGCCCGGTCTTTAAGGAGGAGGAAGTTTGTGATCTGAAAGACAACTTTATGAGTTGTTTTACAGTGCCACATTGTCTGTCCTGCTCTGTTATGCCCCCCTCAAGGCATTGTTTCTGCAGCCTGTGGTTTCTCTGTACAGTGCCTGCTTCCTGGATTGAATTAATGTTTACAGCCATTAGTTCCTTTGCGCTCATGTGTACACACACACACACACACACACACACACACTGAGCCATCAAGTCAATTAAGACTCAGAGCAACCCTGTAGGAGAGGATAAAACTGTCTTTGTGGGCTTCAGAGACTGTAACTCTCTACTGGAGAGGAGAGCCTCATCTTCCTCCTGCCCTTTGTATACTGTGTATTATCTCCAATATTCTCCTATGGTTAGTTGTACCGAGGAGTATGTCCCTCCTTTGTATTATCACTTGGTAAGCTCGCCTATTGTTTGGCTGAAAGTTGATCCTCTGGGGTGGGTTCAGTTCCAGGCTTGAAGGGTGTAAGGGCTACATTCCATCAATTTTTGTCAGAGGAATAACTGGTCTTTTTATGATTTTGACCTAAATTTAAAAAAAATCCCTCTGTTCAGGACCTTCTGTTGTGATCCTGATCAGAGGAGGTAGTAGTGGTGGCTGGGCACCATTTAGATCTTCTGGTATCATGGTAGGAGAAGCTATGGTTTGTGTCCTTTAAGGAACCATTTTTAACAAGCATTTGTAAAGAGCGAAACCCAAACAGATAGTTGCACACTATGATTACTCATAAGAGCAAGAAGATGGCAACAACGCAAATGGCAGTCAGTGGAGGAATGGATAAATGAACTGTGGTACAGGCACACAACCTAATCCTACACACCGCTAAAGAATAATGATGAAACTGCCAAACACCTTATGACATGGTGAAGTTGGGAAATAGTATGCTGAGTGAAGTGAGTCAATCACATGAAGATAAATATTACACAACACTCACTGTTACGAAAGAAGAACATTGTTTAAAAAGGTTCCCTTATCAAAAGAAATAGATGGTTACAGGGAAATGGGGTGGGAAGGAAAGGGAGTAAGGGGGAAGCAAAAAAAAATTAGTGCATATCAAAATATGGGTAAGATATTGGGAGAAGCCGACTTTGAGAGGAAAACCCTGTTGTACTCTGCGTAGCACCCTCAACTATTCCTTCACAAGAAGTCCATCTTGATCTATCACTTCACAATTTTCCCGGAAGGTGTAATAATAAAAATCAAAAAAGATATTTGAATTAGAGTGCATGTGGAAGAGAAAACATTTAAATCTTACCAGAGGCACTAGAAAGCAGAGGGTTTTTCCCTTCAGATGACTCTTTTTCTTCCTGGCCGCAATTTCTGTATGTAGGATCAGTGTGTTTCATAAAAGCAAGGGTCCTTTGGGATAATGAGTGGAGGCCAACTTGGGGTATCCCACTCTCGCTGACCCTTTTCAACCAGGGTACTGTGTTTCTATCTGTTACATACATTTAAAAACCCCACCTATTTTCAGGGATTCATGACTCAAGTAAAATTGGAAAATGATTTGACTGAAGAAGCAGTAAAATTCCCTTGGGAACCATGACAAAGAACTGTGAGCAGGAAAGGGAGGCCTGGCACGGTGGAAGGGGGGAGTGGTCGGTTAGCTCCTCATTTGTACCCCTTTCACCGTGGAGTCTCTTCTTAGCCATGTCACTCCTTCGAAATATAGCTCAAGGTGGGGTTTCTTTTTCTTTCCATTTTTGGTGATTTGCAAAATCTATCATTATTCAGCTATCTTTTATTCTTTTGTTTACATTTAGGACAAAAATGTTTTAGGGCACAAATTCTATGTATGTTTTTATTGCCGTGGCAGTAATTTTCCTTATATCAGTTCAAATTGAGTTTTGAGAAAAATTTTCACATAAGCATATGGATATGTGTATAATAGTTACATGAGGAGGATTCAGAAATTTCTTCAAAAATGGAATTAAAAGATGATGGAGTTTTCCATGAACTTTTTGAAGGCCCTTAAGATTAATTCCCATTTTCTGTGCTATATAGATCATTAGTTGGGGCTAACTTTGTAAATTCAACTGTATTTTTTGGGTTTTGTGTGTTTGATATTTAATTTTTATCAAGTTTTATAATGTTCTTTTTCTGAAGTTAGGTATCCAGTTGACTGAGCTAATCCTAGCTGTCCTCATGTTCCCATGTGCTCCCTCATGTCTTGGTAAAAAATACAAATAAGTAAAAAAGGCTTTCTTTCCTTAGAAATCCTGTATAACTGATTGCTTATAGGATAAAGGCCACATTCCTTGGCTTGCTATCCATTGTTTCTCACCACGTGACCCCGCTGACCTTTCCAACTTCATATCTTGCAACAGTTCCTTCGGTACCTCTGTACACATGCCCTTTTCACAGCATGTCTCATAAACCCAAGTGCATTGTGCTGTGTCACAGATTCTACGTGGAACTTCACTCCTCTTCTCTTCTTGCTAACATCATCCTTCTGCCCCCAGTTCAAATGACACTTCTCTTGGGAAACGTTGACTTCGTTAGGAAAATTTGGTTGGTCTTTTTTGACGTGTACTCTTACTGTTTTTTTCTGTGTCCTTCCAGCCACACAGCATACACCAGTCCTGACCAGAACCCATAAAACTTGTAGTTTATTGAGAGTAAATGACTTACTACCTTAAGCAAATCTAAACAAAGCAAAGACTTGTTAGGTGCTGTCAAGTGGGTTCCACTCATAGGGACCCTGTGGACAACAGAACGAAATACTGCCAGGTTCTGCACCATCCTCTCAGTTGTCATGCGTGAGCTCATTGCTGCAACCACTGTGTCCATCCATTTGGTCAAGGACAGGTTTTACTGTGGTCCTCCGTTTTACTAAATATGATGTCCTTTTCCATGGGCTGATCTCTCTGATGATAGACCCATAGTCCATGAGACCAAATCTTGCCATCGTCTCTCCAGCTACTACCATTTAATTGCAACAAATACTTTGTTGTTTCTTTTCCTTTCATTCTTATTTTTCCTCCTGCCAAGGTTTTCAAATATTGTTGATTTGACAGGGATGTTTTATATGAAATAACTGAATTAGGAGGTGTCAGAAAGGACAGCACATCACTTAGACACATCAAAGCTGCTGCCAGTGTTGTGACAGGCTCCCTGAGGTGCCCGCTCCCCTGTCAGGTGAGAAAGTCAGGCCTGAGAACATTTTACTTGTGATATAGTGGGGAGGAAGCATGGGTCCTTTCAGACCACTATTTTTCTCAGTGGTAAAATGGGGA